CCTGTAAAGTCTCTTTTGAGAAATCAGCTGACAGTCTGATGGGAACTCCTTTGTAGGTAACTGTCTCCTTATCTCTTGCTGCTTCTAGGATTCTCTCCTTCATTTTAATCTTGGGTAATGTAATGATGATGTGCCTTGGTGTGTTCCTCCTTGGATCCAACTTCTTTGGGAGACTTTGAGCTTCCTGGACTTCCTGGAAGTCTATTTCCTTTGCCAGATTGGGGAAGTTCTCCTTTATTATTTGTTCAAATAACTTTTCCTCTTGTTGCTCTTCCTCTTCTCCTTCTGGTACCCCTATAATTCAGATGTTGGAATGTTGAAAGATGTCCTGGAGGTTCCCAAGCCTCTCCTCATTTTTTTGAATTGTTTCTTCATTCTTTTCTGATTGGATGTTCCTTTCTTCCTTCTGGTCCACTCCATTGATTTGAGTCCCAGTTTCCTTCCCATCACTATTGGTTCCCTGTACATATTCCTTTATTTCACTTTTCATAGCCTTTACTTTTTCCTCTATTTTGCAACCAAATTCAACCAATTCTGTGAGCATCCTGATTACCAGTACTTTGAACTGTGCATCTGATAGGCTGGCTCTCTCTTCATCACTTAGTTGTATTTTTTCTGGAGCTTTGATCTGTTTTTTCATTTGGGCCATTTTTTTTGGTTTTGATGGGCCTATTACGTAGCAAGGGGCAGAGCCTTAGGTGTTCACCAGGGCAGGGCAACCCTGGTCACTGCGTTGTGACGCTGTATGTGGGGGAGGGGTCTGAGAGGGAATAAGGGTGCTTGCTTCGCCCTCTGCTGCCTTTCAGTCACTTCCTCGGCTTCCCCCAAACAAACTGGGCCCTTCTGGTGCTGATTCCCAGGGGGGTGGGCTTGTGTACATCTTGAGTCCCTGTGGGTCTCTCCAACAAGCTCTCCTGTGAGGCTGGAAGTTTCTCCCGCTGCCTCAACCCCACAGGTGTTTTCAATCGGTGTTTTGAGACTTTATTTCCCTGAGCTGGAGCCCTGGGTTGTGGGTCTGTCTCGCTCCCCAGTTTTGCCTGGTGTATCTGCGCACGAATGTGGGACCACCTGGTCTGCCAGCCACCTAGCGCACCACGCCATGCCCCTCCACTATCGGCTGCCTCCCTGGGTCCACCAGCCGCTGCTTTGCCGTGAGTCCTCTGGTCCTGGCTGACCGACTCCACCACTGCTACAGGTCTGAATGAATGTGTCTTCTTTACCTCCTTGGTTGTTGGACTTCCATACAACCATACAGCTCCATACAGTTCAATATTCTGTCAGTACTGGTTGTTTTTTGTTTTTAAATTATTGTTGACCTTCGCTTGGTTGTGTGAGGAGGCACAGTGTGTCTACCTACACCTCCCTCTTGGCCGGAAGTCTGATCATGATCTTAATTTGCACTACCCTAATGGTTGATGATGTTTAACATCTTTTCCTGTGTTTACTTGCGACCCATGCATCCTTTTTGGGAAGTGTCTGCTCAAGTCTTTTGCCTATTTTCTAAGTGGATTCAAGTCGTTTCTCAGATGATTTGCAAATATATTCTCTCATTTTATGGCACGCATTTATCTTCTTAACTGGGCCATTCAGAGAGCAACAATTAAATTTTGATCAAGTGTAACTTACTGATTTTTTTTTCTTTTAGGGATTGTGCTTTTAGTGTCATGTCTAAGAACTCTTCGTCTAACCTTGGGTTGTGAACATTTACTCCTGTTTTTTTTCTAAAAGTTTTATAGTTTTACATTTAGATCTATGATTCACCTTGAGTTAATTTTTATATAAGGTGTAAGATTTAGGTAAAGTTTCCTCTCCCTCCCTTCCTTCCTTTTTTTTTTTTTTTTGCATATAGATGTCTCCTTGTTCCAACACAATCTGTTGAAGGCTATCATCTCTCCCTTAAATTGCTTTTCACCCACGTATAAATCAGCTGACCAGACCTGCGTGGGTCTACGTGCGAACTCCACTCCACTGACCTAGTTGTCTATGCCTGCGCTGCTACCACTAACTTCATTCCTCCAGCAATATAGTAAGTCTTAGAATAGGGAGTATGATCTTTCCAACTTTATTCTTCCTTTCAAAAATTGTTTCAGTTATCCTCATTTTTCTGCCTTTCCAGAAGAACCAAGTTCAAGAGTTGGAGAGTTTTATAGACATCTTTTGGCATCACCGCATCAGAAAAAGAACACCTGTATGCCATCCATTAGTATTCTTACATGAGAATGGCACAGTAGGATTAAGAGAAAATGAAAATCTTTACATTTTTATTCTTTCAACAAACAGTTATTGAGCACCTATGTGAAAGACTGTTCCAGATGCTAGGAATAAGAATATGGCCATTTCTATTTATACAGTACACTAATTTCATTTTCTTCATCTCCAAAATGCCTAGCTACAATTTTCATCAAAACCTATGAAAAACAGAACCAGAGGCATGGAAACAGGGAACAGACTGACAAGGACCAGAGAGGAGCAGGGAGGGGGATAAGGGGGAAAGAAGGGGAAGGCCAGTCAAGGAACAGGTATAAAGGCCCCATGAACATGGACAACAGGGTGGGGACTGACTATGGGGGGGCAGGGTATGGGAGAGCAACATGGGAAAATTGGGACAACTGGAATAAAACAACAATAAAAATAAAATAAAATACTTCCTGCTATACAATTACGGAAAGGAAAAAAAACCCTATGCACAAAGATTGCTGGCACTCTGCCATGAGCAAGAGGTTGCTGGAGAGGTGCCCAGCCACGCAGCAATGCAGGGGAGGCGCTCGAGCTCTCAAGGGGCCCACGGCGAGGACCACCAGCCAGCTGTTTATCAAGTCCTTGACCTGGGAGATGTCACCAGCTACAAATAAGGACACGGAGGCCAAGAGACAGAGGCTTGTCAGAGGCACTGGATGCGCAGGGAAGGCTGGGGCCTCATACAGCACCCATGCTGTGCCATGTGCAGGGATGCCAGCAGGCTCTGACTCAGTTTTCCCTACAGGAGACCCCACAATGCTCTGAGTGCACCCAGAAATCTGAAACCCTCTGGCACACTTGGGGAACAAGGCAAAAGCAAGAATACCCAGTGGGGACAGTGGTGTATATGTCAGGGCTCCTGGTCATTTCAACCCTGGGCTCTGCACCTGGCCACCTCCCCTGGAAACAAACCCCCTCAGACATCAAGGCTCTGACCCCCAGGCTGCCTCCCCAGCCCCAGTGATGCCACTCCATGCAGCTTAGAAACAGAATGTAGGATGATACACACACAACTCAAATGGGCCTCGCCAGAAGCAAAGGCCTCCACCATTGAGGCTCCTGAGGCTTCTCCTAGAACAAACGTGCCCCAGGCTCACCTGAGGAGTACCCATCAAGATCCAGGAGTAGCGGAGATGGCTCACAGGACCCTGTTCAGGACCAGACCCACTCAGAGAAGGTCACCCCAAAGGGGAGGACAGTTGTGAGCAGAATGCCGTGGTGGACCTGCTAGCTCCAGTGCCACCTGCCCGGGTCCCAGCTGCTACGAACATTTTGGTCACAAGGCAAGGGGATATCCATCTGCCCAGATGTCTCAGGTACTTCCCTCCCTAGAGACATCCCAGGTACAGAACACCTGCACACAATTCCCTACAGGTGTCATATCATTTATCTCGCTGGTGTGTGTGGGTGTTTAACATAACCCTCCCAGCATTAGAAAATCAACTAGAGATAGAAACAGGTGGGAACCATGACCCCTGGGCAGAAGTACCAGTTGGAAAGACTCAGGGTCCCTGGCGGCAAATGCCCTGTGGTGGCTCTGCCAGCCTGGGTACTGCAGACGGGACACCTGCCAGGGGTTCACACCTGAGCCCTCACCACCAGCTGTCTCCACAGCCACTCCCTGCAGGCTCCCAGTTCTGCTTCCTTCCTGCACTGGGCCCTGCTGGCAGATCCAGTGCAGAGTACACCCTTCCTTCCCTCTGAGGCCCAAGGGCAGGCTTGTGGCTCCTCTGCTCCCTCACCCCCTCCTCCTGAGGACCGCTTCCTGCCTAAGGCTGCCTGAGTCTCCTGTTTTAAAAAACCTAACTCAGTCTATCTATTGATAATAAGAAGCTGGCGCAGCTCATCCTTCCAGAATCCTCTCCACCCACCCAAGCCTGACTTGTAAAACCAGGCCACGGTCTTGGGGGCCCAACTGCTAAGGAAACCAAATCCATCAGAACACAACAGTGTGAAAGACACTGGGAGTACCCCCAACTTGGATGATGCCCGGCTGGCTTGAGCCCATCCCAACACACACAATGATGGCACGTGAACTCAGGAGCACTGCTTTCCAGGCTTGAAGGCATCCAGTTTCTTGCAAGAAACCTCAGCGGCTGCCTCGGAAGGTGTCCTCCTCCCCCAGGGCACAGGTGGGAACTCTCTCCCCAGGGCCTGTTCTAAGACAGGCCAGGGGCTCCAGGTGGAGCATGAAGAGGCAGCCAGGGAAGCAAGGGAGACTGAAGGGCTAGCTCACACACATGGGGCTCACTGTGGGCACCACGAGGTCTGCGGTGAGCAAGTGAGTACGTAGTTTCCAAAGTCAAAGTCACAAGTGGGTGACTGGAACACTAGGATGTAAATAAACTACTTCTACTTAATTGCAAAAATGCACTTCCTGATTGTTTTTAAACCAAAGATGAGCAGATGCTAAAAAGAGATACATCACAGACTGGAATTTAAATATGAGATAAAAGCAGGTTTACACTACCCTCATCTGTACCCACAGATGTCTCAGACTTGCCACTATGTGCCTGGATGCCCCACTTCTCTTCCTCACGGGGCTCCCTAAAAAAGCTTGGCTTGGCAAGCATGCCGGGGGAATAAAGGGTGCCTGTTTAAAGGTAAAAATAAATGTCTCCTACTACATTAACATTCTGTAAAGTGAGTTATCAACATTCTAAGGTTGAATGAATTAAAAACGGATATGAGCCAAGAGAGAAGATGTAATATATTCAAGCTATCGGCGTACTATAGGAAGGCGTAAATAACATGACAGGTTAGTCACGGTCCACCCTGATGGGGGGTTTTCCGTAGACCTACATCGTTGGAAACACCTCGTAGGTTACACATGTTGCTCCCTTTATTCACAGAACCATGCGTTAGATCTGTGGGGAGGAACTACACACCTAACTAGAACCAGACCTGCTAAGCTATGAAACACCTAACAACCAAATTTGTGTTATCATAGGTATTTGTAGATCCTTGAAGAGCTGTACTATTCTAGGATGTTATCACTTAGGAGTAAATGTGATCTGAACTGACTCATGATTAGAGGATGTCCGAGACCGACACACCAGGTAGATCCGTCTACTCAGACCCTACCCGTGGCCCTGAAGGAAACTGTGAAGAAACTGGGTCCTGAGGATTACAGGTGAGGGATTTTTGAAGGATGTCCATATTCAAGCAGAGATCAAAGAAACTCAACTGAAAGAACTGTACACTGACTGACATGACTATATGTAGCAAAAATTAATTTAAAAAGGGATTAAAACACAAACTTGGAAGGCAGTGGAAGCAATCAGAATATGTGAAATTTCTCAAATAAAAATGTATTAATTTTTAAAAAATTGTTGCCTATGTTACATACAATCAAAGAAGCAAAACCCTTTATACTTTTTGCAGAAAAATAACATGACAGGGCAGGGAAATGGGAGTCAGAGACTATCTTGGGGAACCAATAAATGCCAGATGGGAAAAGAACTAATTGATATCCAGGTTTCACACCATACCTAAGTCCATCTGGAATTAACCCCCAAAAGTCACATAAAAATCATAAAATAAATGGGATAGAGAAAATTAAATGGCATAATCAGCCCACCTATGGAAGGGAGATTGCCTCTATTTTTCCACAAAGCCAGAAACTATTAAAGGTAAAATGGATGGGTTTAAATAGGAAGAGGAATTACTTTTTGCATAATGAAATTTAGCATTAAGGGGAAAGGAAACAAAGCTAAAGTAGTGACCAGGTAACTAAGATATTTTGAAGAGTTGTATAATCTGTTTCGAATAGTTGAAAAAATTCAACAAGTATCTGTTGAGGGTTTCACACCGGGCACTGCCCTGGGTGCGGGGGGGGGGCAGGAGTAAACAGACAGACCCGCACCTCAGAATTGCCGTCTTCACGCTGCTTACATCCAGTATTTCCTTCTGTAAAGTGTTTTTTATTGATCATGCTATTACAGTTGTCCAATTGTTTTTCTCACCTTTATCCCCCCTCCGCCCTACACCCCCCTTCTTTTATCGTCACCCCCCCCTTAGTTCATGTCCATGGGTCATACATGTAAGTTTACCGGCTTCTGTTTCCTACATTATTCTTAACCTCCCCCTGTCTATTTTGTACCTACCATTTATGCTTCTTATTCCCTGTACCTTTCCTCCCATTCTGATAACCCTCCCTGCGATGTCCATTTCTGTGATGCTGTTCCTGTTCTAGTTGTTAGCTTAGTTTTTGTCTTTGTTTTTTAGGTTCAGTTGTTGATAGTTATGAGTTTGTTGTCACTTTACTGTTCATAGTTTTTCATCTTCTTTGCCTTAGATAAGTCCCTTTAACATTTCATATAGTAAGTAAGGGCTTGGTGATGATGAACTCCTTTAACTTGACCTTATCTGGAAAGCACTTTATCTGCCCTTCCATTCTAAATGAAAGCTTTGCTGGATACAGCAATCTTGGATGTAGGTCCTTGCCTTTCATGACTCGGAATACTTCTTTCCAGTCCCCTCTTGCCTGCAAGGTCTCTTTTGAGAAATCAGTTGAATAGCTTTATGGGAACTCCTTTGTAGGTAACTCTCTCCTTTCCTCTTGCTGCTTTTAAGATTCTCTCTGATGCGTGGGTCCCCGGCCAGCAGTGACCACAGAACACTGTGGATGGCTCAACGATAAACACGTGAGAAAAAACATGCACAGAGACAAACTAGTTTCTGTGGAGAAGTAGGGACGAAATGGCCACGCCTCCTAGTGGGGAGTGCGCGGATTTACCATCCATACCTGCTTTTATTGGGCTCACTTTGCATAATAATTCAGGTAAAGTACAGTACTCATTAGGGGGAAGTAAGGAACTATAGAAAACAAGGAATTCTGCCGGTCTATTGAGTCAGGGTCAAAGAGCTGTAAGAACTGAGGAACAAACTAACTTCCTCCTGGACCCCTCTCATTCAACTGAGAACATTCTAAACAAAGAAGGTTTCACAGTAATTTACATATTCTTTCTTAGGCCTGATCACCCGGGGAATCCACCCTTTTCAGCACAGAGCTGCACCACCCTGTCATTGTTTCAGGCTTAGGTGGAGCAAGGGAACTAAGGCAACCAAGAGATAAGGAGATTTTTCTCCCAGACGATGAGAACTCAGGCTATGTCAAAGCAGAGGGGCGAGGGTCCATCACCCCCTTTTGCTGCAGCCCCCCAAGTCCCTCTTTTGGGGGGCCTCCCAAAGTGATCGTGCCTGTCTTAGGTCGTTCCCCCCGTGGGGAATCTTACCCGTCTTTGGCTAACCGACCAAGCTTTTTGGGGTTCAGCAGCAGAAGCAGCATTCCTGCCAGGGAGATAAGCTTTTGTCTCCTTGCTGGCTTACGGTTCCAAGGGCATTCCCTTAGCCTTAGCCTAGGTGGGGGTTTCAGCTTCTGATACCAGTCAGGGCGGTTCCCAACATCTCTCCTTATCTTTAATGTTGCGTACTGTAATTATGATGTGCCTTGGTGTGTTCCTCCTTGGGTCCAACTTCTTTGGGACTCTCTGAGCATCCTGGACTTCCTAGAAGTCTATTTCCTTTGCCAGATTAGAGAGGTTTTCCTTTATTACTTTTTTGAATAAGTTTTCCATTTCTTGCTCTTTCTCTTCTCCCTCTGACACCCCTATGATTCAGATGTTGGAGTCCTTAAAGCTGTCCCACAGGTTTCTAAGCCTCTCCTCATTATTTTGAATTTTTGTTTCTTCATTTGGTTCCAGTTCTATGCTTATTTCTTCCTTTTGTTCTAAATCATTGATTTGAGCCTGGGTTTCCTTCCCTTTGCTGCTGGTTCCCTGTATATTTTGCTTTATTTCATTTTGTGTAGCCTTCATTTGTTCCTTCATTTTGCGACCGACCTCCATCAATTCTGTGAACATTTGGATAACCAGTGTTTTGAACTCTCCATCAGATAGGTTTTCTATCTCCTCATTGCTTAGCTCTTTCTCTGGAGTTTTGATCTGTTCTTTCATTTGGGCCATGTTTCTTTGTTTCGGTGCACCTGTAATATTGTAAGGGGGCGGAGCCTTAGGCATTCGCTAGGGCAGGGCAACCCTCCCTGCTATGCTGTGGCGCTGTCTGTGGTGGACGGGTCAGAGGGGGAACAGTGCTGCTTGCCTGCTCGGCTCCAGTGAGACCGGGAGTTTCCCCTGTCGTCCAACCCCACAGTATTTTACAGCTATTAGAGGTTTTGAGTCTTTAGCTTCCCCTTCAGCCAGCCCCGCCTTGCCCCACTCCACCCCACCTCCTGGCCTGGATGGATGTTTCTTGAACCCCTTGGTTGTCGGAGTTCCGTGCAGCTTGATTTCCTGGAACTTTTGGTTGTTTATTGTTTTTACATTGGTTTTTATCATTCTTTTGGTTATGTGAGGAAGCAAAGCCTTTCTACCTACACCTCCATCTCAGCCTGAACTCCTCCAGGGATTGTTCATATTCTAATATTTTTAAAAGGTCAAAATCCAGAATAATCTACTAAATTGGTTCAATAGCTTCTCTCTCAACTTCTACATTTAATGCACCAACCAAGAAATATAAGTTATTTAAAAATATAACTATATATACCTTAATAAAATAGAGATAAAATCTAATATGTGAAGAAGAAAAAAGTTGGGCAGACATACATTATCTGAACACTGCACCAGTTTTTAATAGGCTGTTAGTGGAGAGCAAACTGGTAACATGTACTATTTTAAATTCTCTGTCTCCATAACTCTACTGTCTGAAGGAAATTTTTCCTAAGGAAAAAACATATAATTTAAATTGAGTGGTTTACTGGGAACTAAATGCCTAATACAAGATTAATGGTTAAACTAACAGCTTAGTGCTGTCCAACAAAAATATAATGTAAGCCACAAATGTCACTTAAATTTTTCTAGTAGCCACATTAAGAAAGAAAAAGATACAGGTGAAATTAATTTTAATAATATATTTAACCCAGCATACAAAAAATCTTATCTTTTTAACATATAATCAATAACAACTTATTAATGAACTATTTTACACTCTTTTTTTCCCCCTTTTTTGGTGCTAAGTCTGGCTGGCTCACAACAGGATCACCAGGGAAAATCCAGTGTGTACTTTATATACATAGCACATGTCAATTCAGACTGGCCACATTTCAAACGCTCAATAGCTACATGTGGCTTGTGGCTACAGTATCGGACAGTGTAGCCCAGTAGTTGCCAAGTGAGGGTGATTTTACTTGCCCGGGGCACATTTGGCAATGTTTGGAGACATTTTAGTTGTCACTACTAGTATGTAGTAGGTAGAGGTCAGTGATGTAGCTAAACATCCTGCAATGCCCAGGACAGCACCCCAAAATAAAGAGGTATCTAGTCCCAAATGTCAGCCGTGCTGAGGCAGCCCTAGATAGCTAAACAGCTAAGCCAGGACTTGATGCACGCTGATCTAGCTGGATGTATTTTATGAGGCTGTTTTTTACATTATGATGCTTTAAATAATCCTTTTTAGAAGTAACATTGTACAGACTCTCCTGAGAAGGGATGAGGACCCCCCACTTCTCTTGATTTCTCTCTAGGGTCACTACATATGGACTGAAAGCCTCTCTGTAGCCAGAGGACACGGCCACAGGGACAGGTGTCGCAGCAGCTGGCTCTTTCTAAGGGTGAAATATTGCTTGGTCCAGGAGTTGAGAAAACATTAAACAAGGAAATCCTACTGCTATTTATACCTTCCCAAGGACTTTATGACTGGGAGACACTGAACATTTTTTTTCCTACCCAGGTGACGCAGACACGGCAGGGTAGGGGGCGCTAGAGAGCTAAAAGGGGTCAATGAAATTCAGGTTCAGCTTAGGTTTAAACAAAGGTCAGGGACATACCTGCCCCTCTTGTGAAGGAAACAAGGAACATTTGATCCATAAGCAAACAGAGATGCTTGCACCAGAGA